CCCACTGCCGGTTTTGCTGAATCAAGCTTGACACATAAGACCGATCTTACTGTTTAGTTACCTCTCTATCAGCACACCAGCGTCTCTTTCCAGGGCAGTGACATCTGCCCTGTAAGTCACCTTACAGTTTCTCCTGGTCTCCGTGATCTAGAAGCTGGAGTCTTCCATCTGCAGTATTTGCCATAGGATATCGTGCTCCTGCTCCAAGTCCCCAGTGACCCTCTTACTCTTAGAGCAGATTCAGCACCCTTGTTGTTGCCCTCCCGGCTTCAGATGACCTGACTTAACGTCTTCTGGGTCTCAGCTCCACTGACTGTCCCTTCTCTGTCTACTGTAGCTATGTCAGTATTCTTTGGGTCCCAACAGCTTATGAAATGCTAAATAAGTAAAAAGGTAAAAAAGCAATATAATTACCAAGTAATGGAATTTCTTTGAAGAAAAATAGCACAAATGAAAGAGAAAGTAACATCAGCCCAAGCCTTTTCCTTTGTTTTTCCTATTACCTGGACTTCACTACCTGCCCCTTCCTTGAATAACTGTTATCAACTGTTATGGTTTGTGTCTAAATGTCCCCCCAAAGCCATACAGCCATGGGGCGGGCTTCTAGGGTTATGATTGATTCATGATCCAATGCTGGAATTATGGATGTGAGTGCTATACCCGCCCTAGGGTGGATAGTATACATACAATGTACGGGAGGGAGAGAGGCTTGCTTTTCCTACCTGCTCCTCCCTTTTGCTCTTGCTGCTTTTGCTGTCTTCTGCCGCCATGAACAGTTACTCCCTGCCATGTGCCATTCTGCCTTGGAGCCAGCTGAGTATGGACTGAGACCTCCACAAACTATGAGCTAAATAAACCTTGCCTTCCTTAATTTTGGGTGTCAGGTATTCTGTCCCAGCAACGAGAGAAAAGTAACCAAGACAACAGCACATGTCTTTTCATGCCTTGCTTTTTTGCTTTCTTTTATTCGCTGTGTGTTCAGTTACTCTGCTATATATCGGGGATCAAGCAGGGGAAAACACAACAGGCAGCACGCCCTGCCCCTGTGCAGCTTCCCTTCCCTCAAGGAGATCAGACAACAGACAAAATGAACAAGTAAATTACGTTGCAAGGCAGATGATGGCAAGTGCAGAGTGCACCAAGGAACGGGGAGAGGGACAGTGCATCAGGGTTGGCACGTGGTGAACATGGGTTGCAATTGTAGGCACTGTGGTCGAGCGTGGCCCCATGGAACGGATATTTGCAGAAAGCCTAGAAAAAGGCAGGGGACAGGCAAGCCTACAGTGTGATAAGCCACAGATCTCAAGAGGAGTGGCTGGCGTGTCAGTGGAAAGCGTTCGCGGAGGAGGAGTGGAGGGTGTGGGGTGAGAACAGGGAGCACTGGGTCCGATTATGCAGGAGTCTAAGTTTCTCTCTCATCTGTGTTTGTTTTCTTCATGAAACTTACTTTACCTGATACTGTATTGCAGATTCATCTTCTTACTTAATATCTTTTTCCTTCCCTAGATGAAGGCAGGACTTGGGACTTTTTTCTACAACAGTTCCCATACTGGGAACTCAGTTCTAGAGAAGAAATTAATAAATGAAGGACAGTCACCTAGAATGCAGTGTTAACTGCAGAGATCCGACAAGGGAGAGAGTCGCTGAATTTGGCAGATAGGCAGCTTTTATGAGTCCACGTGAACAATAGTCTGCACTTGGGATGAGGGTAGAAGGGCAGAAAAATGGAAGAAAAGAAAACTGATGAAGTGATATCATCCAGTTCTTAAGTTTCCTTAACAAAAATTAAATAGATGCTGTAGAGCTGCCTGTGGTACATTCTTTTTCTTCTTTCTCTAACTTATTTATGATTTCCCCTCTTAAATGGATTACAAAACTGAGCATGTGGTGTATTATACAGATCTGTTGTATCCCTTGGAGAACACAGAGCTCTCACCCTGTTCATTGTTAACATAACCGTGATTAAAGTATTTTAAATCTCATGTTAGGATTTAACTGTAATCTCACTTACTGTGTGGGAGGGGAGGTATTCTCTGTTTAACTATTTAGGCAAAAATCTTAGGAAAGAGATACCACCAAACTGCAGAGTGTAAATGCCAGTTAAGCCTAAGTGACTGAAGAATATTTCTATGATGAAGCGAATTAATGCATAGGAAAGAACTTCGTACGATAGAAATATACCATATTTTCCAAAAGAAAACTGTGTATCTTGTCTCACCTTGCAAATATTCAGATGCTCAAAGCTATAACTACAGTTTAATAGAAGGCAGAATTCTCCAGAGTTAGATATTTATACAGTGTTATTTAAAGGAAAATGCTCTAGGCAGTGAATTTATCCACACGTTTTAAACATGTCTGTACTTTCAATGGGAAGAATAAAGCAGACACAGGAAAGGAAAAGTAGACGTTCCTCCCGCCATATAAATGGTAAATCTTGGTACACTCGACGTCTTTGAGATGAGGGATATACATCATCCTGATAAAAGCAGCCTTAGCAAGACAGAGCTCACAGGACAGAGCTGAACAGTAGAATGCAAAAATAATTAATTTCATGAGGCTGCATTAACAACACTAACAGCAGATGTTCTCTGCTGGAAGTAATGTCATTTCTGTTAAAAGTGGATGCTTCCATTTTGTCCAATTTCACCATCAGAAAACCTTACTGAAGAAAAATTAACACATTGTGAATAGGATCATCATGGTTGCAGTACAGTGACTGTAACTAAAGCCATTAAGTAGTTCTTCTCGTAAGCTTATCTGTGGCTATTTCTGAGTGTTGTGAAAAATAATCTTTGGTCTTAATAAATTGGTCAAAAATATTTAGTCAAAAGTTGGAGACACTTAATATCGTGTGGATTTTCTTTATATATTAGAGCATCAGAAAATAACTTTAGATTTTATGTTACAGCAGAAGTAAACTAGGCACACGTTTTCAAGTCACTTTCAAGATTTTTACAAGAGGAACCTTTAAAAATATGCATTTTAATTGTCCCCTGGGGTATACACTCACAGTATAACTATAAAACTTTTTGAAATGGACAATATTAGCTTGAAAATGTTTAGTTACCTTTCTGTAAGGCTTTTCTTGCTTTCTGTTTGGGTGAAATAAAAGCAGCAGTGATGGACAGCTAGCTGCAAAGTTATTTTCTTGCTAAGCTAGATGTGTGCCCACTTAACCTGACAGAGCGGCTTCCAGAGTGCTATGTTGAAATCCGGCTTTGTTTTCTGGGATGGGAACAAGAGGTGCGTTGACCCCTGTCCATGTCAAACTTGGCTAGCAGGTTAGGTGGAAAAGGAGCGGATACCTAGCACTGAACAGGCTTCAAGGCAACTGACAACTCGCTGCTCACACCAGGTATCAGAGATAGGGCACTCACCTGGGTCTCTGTGATTTTCAGATGTCGATTTGCCTTATGCCCATTTTCTGTGCCTTCTCAAAGATTTGCAAACTACGTAAAGAGAACATTTTGGGTTCTCTTTCCCTGAAGGGAATGCACATAATTCCTGCATTCATGTCCTCTCTGCCCGCTCCACTCCCCCTTCTTCCCTCAGCTAAAGAACTATATTTCAGATGGACTTGGTGATGTACACCTGTAATCCTAGCAATTGAGAGGCTGAGGCAGGAGACTCACTGCCAGCTTGAGGCCACCAGAAGCTACATAATGAGTTCAAAGCCAGCCGGGATTACAAAGTGAGATGCCATCTCAAAAAAAAAAAAAAAAAAAAAAAAAAAAGGCAAACAAAAGCAAACTCTATTAACTGTATTCCAAAGATGCAAGGTTTTTTTAAGCGAGCCTTTTATAGCAGAGGTTTTTTTTTATTTTAAAAAGAATAATAAAACAAGAACAAAATAACCACAACATAGACAAAACAAAGCAAAAGCAGTAAAAATGACACAGTGTTTCAAAACAGAATGATAGGAATTAATAGTGGTTGTTATACTATATATTGTTATCTTCAGTGAAGTTGCTCAGATTACCAGATGTAAGAATACAAGACTGATCAAACAATTCAGGAGAATAAAGAATAATAAAAAACATTAGAAATGATACAGAGCTTCACTAGACAAGATGGTAGGAATTCACCAGTGGTGGTTCTATTGCATATTGTTGCCTTGAGATTAGTTATTCAGATTACCAGATATAAGCGTGCAAAATTCATCAAAAAAATTTAAGCATTAACTGTTCCTTTCAATAAACCATTAGACATCAGCAGTACAGTTATCCTAGTGATCCATATACATATTTCCCCTTCTTTCTTTCACTGATAGGATTTTGAAACTGACACATGGCTGTGAATGGCACTGCCATCCCCCAGCTATCCCCCAATCCCCACTCTGTCTCCGCATCACACACGCACAGCCTCACTCCAGGCTCCAGCTGCCCTCTCCTCCTGTATCTAACATGTGGAGGCCAGGCAGCCCCCTCACGCGGCATCCCTGAGGTTCCATCCGAGGATTAGCTGCCCCTGCTCCAGCACTCACTGCAGGTGAACTCTTCCTTCCTGGCCCCATGTGCTTACCCACCATGCATTGGGGTCTAGGTCTTAACTCGGGCCTGCCCTCCCCTACCTAGCACCCTTGCCCTGATGCCGAGCTCCTTTCCTGTGTGTGCTTTGCAGCAACCCAAAGCATAAGGATCCTCCTCAAAGTGACCGAGGCTTCGTGATTGTTCCTGGTGAATCAAACCCTGGACCTTGTTGGAGACTTGTTGCATCTATATAAGTTGTTAATTTTTAAAATCTGTACAAATACTGATAGATCCGTGATATCCTTTTAAAGAAAAGATAGTGGTAAGCAGGATACGGACAGTGCAGTCTTCCTGAGATACAAGGCAGTGTCGTTTTCTACAGTGTCCCATGCTGTTCCTTCAAAGCATGCTCATCACCGTACCGCTGTAGCACTGTCTCGTCTGTGTTGTGAACTTTGCCCCTGTCTTTCCTCAGCCCTGTAATACGTCCTGTGTGTCTGCGCAGGGTTAAATAAAGAGCTTGTTTTTCAGGTTTTGGATAAAAACGACGCTGATGTTTCATTAAAGAAAGAGAAAAAGGAAGCTCCTGTCCTAAGCAAAGGTAAGAACAATTCAGCTCACAGAGATCTAGCGGTAATGCTTTGACCATTGTCAATGTGCCTTATGTGGTATCCCAAGAAGTAGATCAGAGGCTTGTGGGTCATTGGACAAATCCAAAAGCTTCGATTTTTAAAAACTTAAATTGGTCTTTCCGGAAGTGAGAGCAAGGATGCAGGGTGGATGTGCTGTCAGTTTCATGTTTCGGGGGAGCAGAGAACACGTCCTGGCTGAGAGAAGTGTCCCTAAAATTGCCACACTGCCTGCAATTCCCGCAGACCTACGCTTCGCTTCTGCTTAAATTCTGCCTAGCATTTTGCCAGATACAAGCTCTCTAATTTGGAGAATCTGGTCTGTAATTTTCAGAATCTGCTTTGAAAGTTCAGATATTATCCTGTTTTCATTCATTCAGTGCCTTTCCTGCTTTTCATGACTCCTCTGCAATCCCTAAGAATATTTCATCTAATAAGTGCTTATTGACTAGCTCTTTCATGCCCATGGGATGTAGTGTACTTCCAGCGGGACTTGAACTTACTAGAGCATGAACTTTATAAGCATCTATAATACTCAAGCCACCATACAAAGAAACAGGAACAAATTAAGCTCAAAATATTTCACTTTCTTAGTGTTCATCATTACTGTCATTCTTTTATTGTGCATTATATTCTTACTGTTCCATTCTTTCTTTTATTTACTATTATGTCCTGAGGCTTGAGCTGTCTGTGCATTATTTCCATTGCCATTTTTGTTTTGTTGTTTTGTTTTGTTTTTGGCAGTACTGGGGATCAAACTCAGGACCTCGCGCTTGCTAGGTAGGTGCTTGTACCACTGAGCTATATCTCCAGCCCTGCTGCTGTTTTTATTTTAGTTTCAAAGCCCTTCTCAGTCTGCTTGGTGAGCCTCAGTTCATCTGACTTTCTCCTTCCCTGTCCTTTTCTGTATCCATCCACTCCATATTTTGTGTTCACTTTTGGTACTAAGCTCATCCTTCCTGCATACTCTGTTGCTTAGGTAACCTAATCAGCTATTAATTCGCAATCTTTATGTTTGAACCCATTAGTTAGGTTTCTGAGAAATCACGCTTTTTCTTTCTCATCTTAATGAAGGCAATTTGCAACTCTACAATCAAGATTTCTTTTTAAAAAATTTTTTAATTTTAAATCCACTCCCTTAATTTGAAAGCTAATCTTTTATAGATGTTTCAAACTATTACTATACCTTCAAGTACAGCTCTGTTGGATTTCCAGATTGTAATGGAAAAATCGTTAATATAATTTTGATCTTGAAATTAATATTTAATTTTAAATACTCATCCAGGGCTTGGCAGGATGAGGCTGAGTTAAAAAAATTGTTTTTTATTCAAGCCAGCGAGTAACGCTGATGTGCCTACTGTGTGTGTGAGAAAGCTCTTTGTTGTTTTCCTTAAGGAGCGTGGCAGACCCTCAAACATTCACCCACTGTCTAAAACTTCTTTTGTTGCCCTACCACTTTACATGGTCTTCAATACCCCTAAACCTGTGGACAAAGGCTTACTTAGTGGAAAAAGCTGTCTGGCCGTTATAATAAAGAGCTGTAGAGGCAGATGAAAGACAGACACATTGACTCATTGCTTATACTGTCCCCAAGACATTCTTAACCAACTCTAAAAATCTTAAAGTTTCTACGTACTGTGACCTCGCAGCAAATCTTGTGAAAAGAGACTGGATAACCCAAAGTCTCTTCCTGCTTTGAACTCCAACGCTACTGGACACACATTTTTCACGGTGATGCGTGGGAATGTCTGTGAACCTTAATGCAAAGTGGGAAGAATGGGATATTAGAGTGGAGAGACGGCATTGTCCCAGCAGAAGGTGGGGAGGGTAGAAGTCTGAGTAATCCTGCTCAGTTACCATAAACCCATTAAAAATTACTCCCCCAAAACCAGCTTACAATAAGTGCACAATGTTTGCATGCATAAAAGTATCAGTGGACCCCATTAATTTGTACAACTGATATCTATTATAATGATACAACTGATATCTATAATGATAATAAATTAAAAAATTAAGCAAGGGGAGCTGGGGATTTAGCTCAGCGGCAAAGCGCCTGCCTGGCAAGCTCAAGGTCGTGAGTTCGGTACCGGAGAAAAACCAAAAAAAAAAAAAAAAAAAAAAAAAAAAAAAAAAAAAATTAAGCAAGGTATGTAGCCTTTTTAATTTTAATTATGATTATTATTATTTTTGGTACCGGAAATTGAGCTCAGGACCTCGCACTTGTCAGGCAAGTGCTGTGCTGCTGAGCTATGTCCTCGGCCCTAGCCCCTTGAATTATTATTATTTTTTTGTTTTGTTTTGTTTTCTGGTACCGGGAATTGAACTCATGACCTCGCGCTTGCCAGGCAGGTGCTGTGCTGCTGAGCTAAATCCCCAGGCCTCCCTTGAATTATTGTATATACTTCATTAAAACTTATTATAAATTACCCTAAGAATATAAGTTGCCTTAAAATTGGTACAGTTTAAAGTAGGTGTTTGAATACAAATGCAAATTATGTAACATTTCTGTTGGTTCAGTTTATTGTGTCCTCATCAAGATATAATTGTCCTCATTTTGTCTATATTCTTTTAAAGGAAAACAAAAGCTGTACAGAGATGCTCCAGCAACAGAAGGAAACCCTTCATCACCTCAGCTCAAAAGGTACGTGTGCTGTAATTACACAGATTCCAAGTGAGCGCAGTTACACTGATGAAAAGTCACTGCCAATGTTTAAATACACGAGGAGAGAAAATAATAGCAGTAGAGGAAATTAAGAATGGATCAGAATTTTCAAAAGAGACAAAAACAGAATAGAAATTCACCTTTTATCCCCAACCCTTTTGATTTGTTTTGGGAAAAGGTGGGAACAGTGAACCCAAGCAGGCTCAGCTTCCTACCCACAGGAAGCAGCCGGTTCCAACCGCTGCGGTGCAGTCGGAGAACCGAACGCGTCACACACCTGTTCCTGCCGTATCGGGCACGCTATGACGATGAAACCACGAACTGATTATTTCCCTGTGTAACTCACTGACTTGCTGTCAAACACACATGAAATTACTACAAGCATTGCCTTCTGGAATTTTCTTGACATGAGAATCCTGCCAGTCATAAAATCGACTGGATATTTTAGACTCCCAGTAGAATTTAAAAATTGCTTTCAAGAAGACAGAGCGTTATCCTCCTCTGTAAATGTGCCAAGCTGCTTCCGGGCGTTGGGATCGTCTCTCTGATCCAGTTCTGTGTCGTGGCACAGCGGCTGCCTGGACTAAGCACAAGCAGAGACTTTTCTTTTCGTCCTCTTGCTGACAGGTGGTTCCAGCACTGGCCCCGGCTTCGCCCCTGCACTCAAGCCTGGCTCGCCCCGCTCCCCTCCAGCCCTGCCCCTCCTTTGAGTGCCCGCTTTGCTTCCCAGAAGCTCTCAATGTCTTACAGTTCTCTTTTGCCCCGTCCTTCCATCTCCTCCCCTCCCCTTCCTGCGCTTGAAGGCTCCCTGGTTCCAGTCCCAGTTCGGGTATCCTCTCCCTCTGGTCTTCCTTCTGCTCCTAGGCAAGCTCAGGAGCTCACCGCGCCCCCTGGCGGTGGCCACGTTGTATCATCATCCGTTGAACTTCAGCGAAGCCCAGCCTTGTTCTGACACACTGTCAAGTGGCGCTGTCCCGCTGGCCGGCTTCTTGGCGTGGCATATCTGCTCTTACAACAGGGGCCGGACTCATCGCTTTCGTGACTGCACCTCCGCGAGGTCGCCCCTGATGGCTTCATCTGAAATAGCCCTTCCGCCGTGACGTGTTACACTCTGTGAAATCACCCTAGTTTATATGTTCCAAAGTACACACACGTGCTTTTTTTGTTTTTTTAAACTTTTATTCATTTATTTATTTATTTAGTCTTTTTGAGACAGGGTCTCGCTGTGCTGTTCAGGCTGGGCTTGAGCTCACTTTGTAGCCCAGGCTGGTCTCGAACTCGCAGCAATCCTCCTGCCTCAGCCTCCCGAGTGCTGGGATTGCAGGAGTGCGGCACCACACCTGGCTGAGAGTTTTAAAGCAAGTCAGTTACTCATCTGTTTATTTTCCCGTTTTCTTTCTAGTTTGGTTGTTTTCTCTAGCTTCTGTTAAAGCTATCTCGCTCCAACAGGGTCTGTCTTGTTCACCTTTCTGCCCCTCATACCCAGAATGGCACTTGACTTATAGTTGACATTCAATATTTATTGGTTCAGTAAATGATATAATTCCCCCCGATAAGGCTCTCATTATGCCTTTTCACGAGTAACCCATGAGGTCTAGAATCACTTATTAAAACAAGTTAAATTTTTAAATCTATGCAGACACTAAAACAACTGTCTGTGTGTGTCTGTGTGTGTATTAATTCAGGTCTTCATGAAATTTTGTTTTTTCCATTTGATAAATATAATATGAGTGTTAGAACTACAATCTAAGTCAGACAGTCTTAATGAAATTTATCAAATGGATTATTAATGCTACTGATGGTAAAGATTGCCATAGTAACTGTTAGGTACCATTCACAAACACTAGTGCTGAGCACTGAGGTATGTTTTTTATACATCTCATTCAGTCCTCACCGCAGCTCTGAGAGGTCAGCCCTATTATTAGTTGATAGAAGGAAAAAGAGATTCAGAGAGCAATTCCCTGTGCTCTCACGTAGGGCATTTTACCATCCATTCCCAACACCAGTATGAATTTCAGGCATCCTCAAAATAATAATAAAAAAAAAAAACAGCAAAAGAATTCCTTAATAAAATTTTAGCGGGGCTGGGGATTTAGCTCAGCAGCAAAAGCGCCTGCCTGGCAAGCGCAAGGTCGTGAGTTCGGTTCCTCGTACCGGAGGGAAAAAAATAAAATAAAATAAAATAAAATTTTAGCATAAGGAAGGTTATAGTTAATGAACATTCAGACATTATATGAGTATTCTTTAACAGACAACTAAGTAATTAGCTTATATTATGTTCTTAATTTTAAAATCAACTGAACAGGTCAGGGATATAGCTCAACGGCACAAAGACCTGCCTGGCAGGCGAAAGATCCTACGTTCAATTCCTGGTACCAAAATAAATAAATATAAAAGCAGCTGAAGTTGGACAGTACAATTAATACCGAAGAACTATTGACAGTAACAGCACATTCCATCTGATAGAAGCTATTAGCCATTTTCAAAAGGCCTTCCAAGAGTAGACATAAAAAAAAAAACCTCTCTAGAGCTCTAAAGACCTTAATTTATAGGTATGAGCATGAAAGATTATAAAACTTTTATTCCTTGACAAATAAAACCCTGCGTGGTCTGACCTGTCCCCATGTACACATCTTCTCCTCCCATGCTTTACCATCCTCGGCCTCTTGCATTTTCTATTCCTGCCGTTCTGCTGGTCTCATAACACACTGCACTGTTGGTTCACACTCACCACGACTTACTTTTTGTTCGGCAGCCAGTTGTCCTTTTAAAACTTGGATCTCAGGCCTGGGGATTTAGCTCAGTGGCACTGCGCCTGCCTAGCAAGTGCAACGTCATGAGTTCGATTCCTGGTACCGGAAAAAAACCAAACAAACAAACAAACAAAACTTGGATCTGACGCATGCCACCTTCTCGTGGTAGTGCTCACTGCACTCAGAAGAGCTCGGTTCACTCCCTAGGCCACCGCCCACCTCTCCTTCCCTTCCCGCTTCCCCGCTAGGACCTGCTACTCCATCCTGGCAGCTTTGCCTGTCTCATTCTTCCTGAACAGCCCTTGAGCTTTCTGTGCTGGGATCATTCCTCTTCACTGGAAACGCTTGTCCCCCAGATCATTACTAAATATTTCTTCTAACTACCTTGGTTCATTTTTTGTTTTAGTTCTGCATATTTATCCCATTCTAAAACAGCATTTAAGTCTATTTCACAGAGTAAAGACAAGTGCTATATGACCACTGTAAGAATAATTTGTCACCAGTTCTATTTAATTGTGACTACCCAGAAGCCCAGAAACAATATATGACAGGAATGATTGGTAATTATTCTAATTAAGAATGTTTTTATATAACTACCTATGTGGTAATTTTTAGCATGAAATTTATATGGTTGATTTCATTTGTTTATTAATATTTCATAATGTTGCATGTTATTGTTCCTGAAGTAACTAACATCTAATGTGGTTCTTGCTTTGAAATCATTAACCTCAGCTTGCCCAAGGAGGCTGTGGAAGATTTAAGTGTAAGATCCGGACACAAAGCCACAGTCCCTGTGAGTGGCTGGAGTAAAATTGCTTCTTTGCCAACAACGTCTTCTCCAAGCACGACTGTCAAGGAAACAGTGAAAAAACTGATAGCGATTTTAAGGTAAAGGAAATCACTAAAGATTTTCCACATTCTTTATAAGCAGTGGCAGTTCCTCTCTTCTGTGTGTTTTCCCCTATTGAGTGGTAATGTTACTGCATAAATTCGAGGGCTTGACCCTGTGACTCGTCTCCTAACTTCCTGAACTGGGTACACCACGCGACAACTGTCCCTTGAAATAGCACTGCAGCCACTAAGCGCCTGCCGGTGTGGGCCCAGCATTACGGGAACTCTTCATCCTCCCTTAATGGGATACAAAATTCTGACTGAGTTTTCTTGTGACCTTTTCCTGTCAGTTCACAAAAACCCTTCATGATACTTGTATGGTTTTTTAAGTCTATTTTTGTAATTTTAGATACTGAACTTGTTTTATTGAAGAAAATGGAGGGGTTATTGGCCCAGTGTAGGATGTTGACATTTGTGGACATGATCATTTGAGGAATTTAAATGACTGGATCTCAGTTCTCAGAGGAGAGAGACAGGGATGGAGTGAAGCTGAGGATTCAGGATGCTGAGAAGAGAGGGCTTTACAGTCAAGTGAAGTCTGCAAAGGGAACAGGGCATCAGACATCATATGGGAGGGTAGGGGTGTGGGTCTGAGCATAAGCACTAAATTAGCACCCCCATTAGTTTTGTGGGTTCACAGACTATGAGGCGACTCTCTGGAGTAAGAGGCCATGGGCCAAAGACGCACCGCATGCCCTTAGCTGGAACAGTATCGTCTGAGGATGGTTACTTGTTTTTCAGTAGCAGTGACCAACAGAATCCCTCTGAATGTGAGAGTTCTCCAAGAACAGAAAGTGTCTCAGCTTTTTGTTACTGTGACAAAATACCTGAGAAAATCAGCTTAATGAAGAAAGGTCATTTTGGCTTACGGTTTCAGTGGCTTCAGTCTGTGGTTGCCTGATCGGATTGCTGTAGGCCTGAGGTGAAGCAGAACACCAAAGTGGTGGGAGAGTGCAGCAGAGGAAGCTGCTCCTCACAGCAGGCAGAAGCAGAGCAGGAGGGGAGGGAGGACCAGGGACAAAATCTATCCTTCAGAGGCATGTCTCCAGTGACTGAATTCCTCCATCACTGCCCCACCTCCCAGCCGTGCCATCACCGGGCAGCCAGACAGACCATATGGCCTTGGGGGACATCCCAGATCAGACCATAACACAGGGGCAGAAAAAAGAGAAATATGGAGGTGTGACACAAATATAAGGAGCAACAACCTCTGTAGACCACTCTAGAACAAAGTCAACTCAGCAGCTGCCCCAGGCTGCAGGGCTATGTTTATACGGGTGAGAGAGCCCTACCTGCAGTCCTTTCAGATTCATGCTTAACACCAGACCTACCCCAGGAGAAAGGAAACACTCGTGTTTATCTTCAGTGAGACAAGTCATTGATGGGACAGTGAATTCTGCATGCTCCCTTCCTAATCACCAAGTTCTGACCAACAAAAGGGCCTGAGTTGGCAGGTTGCACTAGCCTGGTAATGAGCCAGAAGTAGGACCTCAGCATTGTACAGATGTCAGGAGATGGTACAAGGTCCAGGGATCTGGTTGGACATCATAAGCTCCTTCAATTGACTCCTTAAAAAATGGGATTCTCCAATGAGTTCTTGATGTCAGCATTCCAAAATTAATACTTAACGTCCTTAGCTTTACTGTTGGTTGACCATAAATTCAAGTCTTGGTTGGTTGTTAACTGGTTCTAAGATTCAGGCCTATCAACTGGTCATTAAGGATCAGTGGCATACAATAAATCATAAACATACATATTTATGTTTGTATGCATGTGTGTATGTGTCCATGGATTCATGTCTGTCTGTGTATATGTAAATAAATATATGAATATCATTAAGAATTTTGCATGGGACCCCATTTCCAATGATGAAGCCATTGCTACAGGTAAACCAGGCTTACTTGATTATAGTAACAGCTATCATTTTTGAGCTTTTGTTATGTTTTGGGCACTCACGCATATACTTTTATGAATTAGCTTCTTACTTCTGTAAACTTCCAAGCATGGTATTTTTAATTTTTTTTAATGTTTGAGCAAACTGAAGCATAGAAAAACTAAGTAACACATCAAAAGTCACACAGGCAATTACACATCTATTAAGGACTGGCTGGGAGTTACACCTAAGATCCTTGACTTCAGCCATAGCCAGCTCTCTTTCCCCACTCTCATACTGTGAGACCTGGAGACACCTGTCCAAGTGTGCGGCATCAGAATTTGCATCCATAGTTACTTATCAGTTGCATAAATTTTCTCCTTCAATGTGGTAGTTTTCTTTTTATTCATTTGGCTAATTTTTATTCTTCATAAGTGTAACATTTCTAGTAAATTTTAATGAATTACATGTGACCAAAAGGGAGATTTTTTGATTAGGTGTGCCTCAGCTTCTGAGATTAGGAATCAATAGAATCGATTAAAATTCCCCAGAAACCATCTCCATAATGAACACATAGACCTGTTAGTGCCTAAAATCACTGTACTCTTATCAACTGAATACTCTGAAAGTGAAATGTGTTCATATTTAAACTTTGTTCAGTACTGGCTTAAATATTCTGTAGTGATCGTTTTGCTAAAAATCATTTCATGGGAAAAAAGCGTAGAACACAAGGCTAAAAAAGAGAGAAGTCGTGGGAGCAGCAACCACCACAAGTGCTGTAGGGGCAGAGACACGCAGCCCCTCTGGAGCTCACAGCATGCCACAGAGTGTCTCAGATGCTGCACATAGAGCTACAGGACTTAATGTTTCCCTTGCTGGATTTTGCACTTGCTTTGGTCCCAATCTGTTGTATCCCCCTGTTTGTAACCTTTAGAATGGAAATGTTTACCTTGTGTCTTTATATAAGTGTTTAACTTTCTTTTCATTTATACAGGGGCTCATAGCTATGAATTTGCCTTACATCTCAGAGGAGGCTTGGGAGTTGGACTTTTTAGAAATACTGAAACTGTTACAAATTTGGCAACTCTGAGAGATGGACTAAACGTGTTTTACATAAAGGGATGTACATGAGTCTTTGGGAATCAGGGACAGAATGCTATGGTTTGTGTCTAGATGTCCCCCCAAAGCCTCCTGTGGTCATAGGGAGCAGGTATTTTGGAGGTGGCTGAATCTAGAGTTTGTGATATTTTCATTGACTAGTGCTGGGGTTGGGGATATGAATGCTACACCAGCCCTAGGGCAGGTATTCTGCATACAATATAAAGGAAGAAAAGAGGCTTGATCCTCCCTTTTGCCCCTTTTTTGCTCTTGTTGTTTTTGCTGTCTTCCACCTCCATGAGCTGTAACCCTTCTGCCATGTGCCTCTCTGCCTTGGAGCCAGCTGACTATGGACCGAAACCTCCACAAACTGTGAGCTAAATAAAGCTCTCCTCCCTTAATTTTGGATTAGGTATTTTGTCTCAGCAATGAGAGAAAAGTAACTAAGGCAATCCACAAGGGAGGTTGAACTGACCTTTAGATAACTACACTGTCCTTACATTACTGTGGAACAGTTTGGTGAGGTGAGATAATGTGAAATGATCCCTGTGAGGGGGAATTTCTTTGGTTTATGGAACGTACCGTATTTCTGAGTCTACACCTGAAAATAAGGACTTAAATAGGGTTCTGGTGGGTTGGAATGCATCCTTCTCGTTCCCTATTGCCTTGTCTAAGTCCTGCTCTCCTTTAGGGATCCCCAAATGCAGGTTAGGCCCCTCTTCAGTACTATGGCACTTTGTTCTCCTGCTCCACAAGCATTTATCACATTGTATTTTGCACTAGTTTGAATCACAGTGGGAAGAATGTATTGGTTTCCTAGCTGGAGGGCATGATGTCAGATTCCATAAGGCTCCATAGGACAAAGGCTGTGTTTCAGAACAGGGTCAAGAATATCATGGAGTTAATGAGGTTGGAAAAAAAGAAAAATCGCAAAAGCTTCTGTGATTTTAGTAAAACCTTTACATGAAAAAGCGTTTCATTTTTAAACAGTTTCTACATATCTGTTGGCCTGTCACTTACAGAAATATAAACCAAACCATAGATGATACTTAGTGCAGATTTTGAAGTACACATAACTAATTGAGAATAATCCAGAACTAATCCAGAACTGTTCTCTCACCCTCTGGCCTGTCACCTTCTCCCCAGCAAATGTTAGCTCTGCATATTTGCTTATCTAAGAGTACATTGTTGGGCCGTTGCTGGTTTGCTGTCAGTCTAAACACAAAAGGCTATACAGTCAACATAGTAAGGACCAACATTCAGAAGTTTAACTCTGGTGGGAAGAAACTTTTTGACTTTCTTGGGGAAAAGGGGCAGCAGTCCTGTAGCCAGCCTCTTCTCATCCATGAAGCCTGCAATGTTGAGTTCTCTGGAGAAAAGAACGCTCAAGTAGGTACAGGGCTTCACTGGACTGGTTGGTCATGGACAGCCAGGCATTGTGAGCCCTTTGTTACCTTTTCACTTTTTTCTTTTTCATTTCTCTCTCCTTTTTATTTTTTTCTTTCTTTCAATAAACTTTTTATTTTAGATTCATGTGTGGTTGTTAAGAAATAATGCAGAAATACACTGTACCCTTTGCTTCATTTCTTTCATTTTTAACCTCAGACAGAATCATAGAACAGTATCATAAGCAAGACATTGTCCTTGACCCAGTCCGTGTTCGAAGAACATTCCCACGGCCATCCTGTTGCCCTTTTATAACCAGCCCAGGTCCTTCTGCCAGATGGTACTCCAGAGGACAACTTCACTATCAGTGGTAAAAACGAAACATTTAGGAGAAGCTAATTTTTACCGTTGCCAGGATGTTTAATATCCAGGAGACAACCCAGTTCTAACAGATAAGGGCTATGTTGCTTGTCCCAGTATAATCCTGTTTCTGCTGTGCTTATATTCCTAGGGAGATTCTTCTGTATTTTGCCCCAAAGTATCTGCAGTCATCAGAATTTAACTACACAGCTGTGGAAGAATTGATAGCAAGTGTTGAGGTAAGCTGGCCTTCTTGGAACTCTGAGGGAATGGCATCAGCCTGAATTTAATCTTATGTGAAGAAAACCGTAACATGTTAGAGGTCAGAGGACCTAGAACAGTTTATAAAGGTGGGGATCTTTATACCAACCAGGTGGCTCACAATGAAAAATGCCTGTGAAATCAGTGTGCTCAGGGGTAAAATAAGCTGTAGAAAATATTACAGGCTGATTATAGATGGTTTCAGAGATTCAACAAAATGAGACATAGTTTCTGCCTTCCCTTCCTCTCTTCCGCCAAAAATGAGTTTCTCTTCTTAGATGCTCCCTCTTCTTCAGCTGCCCATCAGGAGGAGCTGAGGCTAGGACTGCACAGGTCAGCCACTATGCACTGGTCTTCCTAGAATTGCTAAAACATCTCAGAGAAGATGAAGATTGTATTCCCCAAGGCTCTTCGTGAGGACAGAACCATGTATAACTGGGGAAGAGACCTTCAGTCTGCCACTTGGGGTGCAGAGGGGAAGCTCCCAGCTGGTCCTCCTTGTAGCAACACGGAGTAATGCCCCGAGACTCAGTGCTGTGGGCTTAGAGGGCACCAGCTGAGGTGCCCAGTCTGAGGCCAGAGGAGCTGCTTCTGCCGGAGTAAAAGCCAAGGCTGTGCCCTCATGCTAGGGGCCCCTCCTCCTCGCCTGTGCACAGGATTGCTTGTGGGACTGATGGAAAAGCTGCCAGAAAAAAGAACACAAATGATTAATCAGGCAGGGGTGCCATCTGGCTCCATCTGGTCCTGGCTGAAATCCCTAATTTGATAACCTGTTTCTGCTTCTTTACCTTCTTCTCTCTTCTCCCATGAGAGTCTCATTTCTTAACCAGGACCGTTCTCGTCAGGGTCGCCGGTGATCTCTGGGAAGACTGATGTAGTCGTCACTTCTCATTTTACCTCAATTCCCAGAGGCCTTCAACCCAGCGGGGCCACTTGCTCTCTGAAGCACTTTCTTTGCATGCTTTCCATGAGCACACACATCTCATTTTCTGGCCTCCCCCTCACCCATCTTCCCTGCGGCAGCTCTTTCTGTCCTTGCTTTGTAATGTTCTGTCTGATCTCCTTCCTGGACCACATCCTTGTCTCCGTTGAATGCTATGTCTAGGTTACTTCATGTAGTGTCTGACTTCCAGTGCTGTTCCGGATGCCAGTAACTCCGAGTTCACTTCCCCGCCGGTCTCTTCCAAAAATCCAGATTCCAGCTGCCTGCCATACATGGCATTTTGAATGTTTATTATTTTATAATTTAATTTTCTTTCCATTTGATTTTTTAAATCAGCACATCTTTAATCATGCGGTATTTGTTTGTGCACACTGCCTTAATCCTTTTTTAATAAAATGAGGTATAATTTTGTTAATTAATTCAATTGGACCCAGGTTTAAAAGACCCAGAGTACCAATATTGACCAGCTCTAGGCTTTGAGGCTTTTTTTTACTGGATACTTTCCTGATACAACTCTTTTACAGACAGCACATTCTGTAAGGCTAATACCCTGTTCTATTATCATTTATGAAAACAGCTGGCGCGGTCCCCAGAGCAGGCAAACAAGAAGCTGGAACTATGTTTCAACCAGGTAAGCTTCCTTTCCATGTAGCCATTAATATTCTAAATGACTTTGTGTTGCAAAGAAGAAATACGCATTTCCAAATGTTAGGTTTGGAAGGAAATCAACTTTGCATTTACTTATGAAGACCTCGATTAATGTGTAGAATATCAGATGTCACAAAGCGATATCCTTTTGAATTTGAAAACACAAGAATTTCCACAACATGAACCTTATGAAACATTTACATTAGGACCATATTATGAACAGTAAAGACGATATTCTTTGTCTTCAAGAAAAATAGATGCTGAATACTTGAAACACTAGATCCAAGGAGAGATTATAAACTTTTAAATTATTTCAGACAATTTGATCTCCGCAGTTTTACTATCTTATTAACAAAGCTTAAGATGATGATTTTCCATTAGAAAAGTGGTGATAAAAGCAAATAGTACTAGTATAAGACAGGAATTTAAAGAAATTCACCCCATAGTGTCAAACCATCCATATTTTCTCATATTAACACTATTGTCTGTTTTACTACAACTGTGTTTTCTCTTGCTTTAAATATATACATGTGGGGGGCTGGGGATTTAGCTCAGCGGCAAAAGCGCTTGCCTGGCAAGTGTAAGGTCGTGAGTTCGGTTCCCGGTACCGGAGAAAAACCAAAAAAAAAAAAAAAATGTATATATATATATATATATACATGTGTTTTCCTTGTGTGGAGTTGGTACATGTGCATGACTCATCCTAACTCCTTCTTACATCCCCTGTCCCTCCCCTCGCTTCCCCCTTCGTTTAGGTTTTTAAAGATTCTGTGGGAGGTGGGAGGAAGTCTGTGGTGTACTTCAGTTCTCCTGCAGACATAGCTCAGAACATCATGCACCCTCCAGGCTCTCATCTCACCCTGGCCAGCACTCCTCTAAGATGTGATCATGGCCGAGCTAACATACAGTGTTAATGTTGGAGCTGAGGTGACCATGGAAGTTCCCGGACTCATCATCTAGATATCTAGCTGCTACAGCAGCCTAGAACTTTTGTGTCACCAAGACTAGTGTTGAGCTGTTAGGTCTCATTGACACTATCTTTTCTCAGATGTGTACACCAGTTCCATCGCTAGCTCAGACATTATTATTAGCATCTTATTCCACATGCTCATGCTTGCAGCTATCTTGTGGGAAATTACCATACTAACACGCAAACTGAAAAGGCTAGAAGGTGAGCGGCAGTCCTCAAGTTGTGCTAAGGACAGTCGTGGGCAGTGGTGTAGGATTTGTCTCTTTGGTAGGTAGTGGTATTATTTTTAACATTCTTGTTTTATAAGTGAAAAAGAATTGTGAATTTCCAAAAGACGTGACCAGGCACACTTGAGATGAACCGGGCTTCTCCTTAACAAAGACTGTGACAAAAGTGTTTACAGTTTGAAGTGTACTTCAATTTAACAGGCCTTGTTGATATGCTTGCGCCCGCTGCTTCTGACTGAGTGCTAGCGGATGGTCGCAGGTAACTAGAAATAGGAATAGAGATTATAAGTAGCTTCCTATTATTGCTCAGCTGAGAAGTGAATTTACTTATTTTCTGAATGTTTTATTAAAAATGTGATATTTAAACATTTTTGGTTTGATGACTTTTTGTCAACATTTCTTAGCTAGAATAAAAGGCAGTTTACTTTCAATATGTTTTGACCATATTTTAGCACTAATACGATTTTAATCAAATAATATAAACCTGATTGAGGGCTATTAGCACCAGGCAGTAAGCACTGCTGTTCTGTATGTTACCTCATGTGAACCCTCACAGGTTTGAAAGACTGATAACCACTATCTCCATCTTGGTAACAAGGACATGGAGATTCATTACGATAATGTATTATTGTCATCACGAAAGTATCGGATTTGAGATGTCAATCCAGATTTGTCCTATTCTAAAGGTCTCTTCATTCTATCACCTCCCTACACACTCCTTATTCTTATACAGATTTTAACACTTGATTTTTTTTATGGACTTTGTACACCTTACCTGAAGTAGGTTTGTTACAGGTTCTCAGCTTACTTCAATAGAATAATTATTTTAAACTTCTAGAGACCTTGACATTATATCATGACACGTGTATGGTGCAGGTACTGATGGTGAAATCTTTATTTGTGGTAGGAGAGTTTGATTAATGCCCACCAAGAATTGATTACCCAAAATGAAAATCAGTGGCAGTCACCTTGAAGAGTTACCAAGACCTAGATCTTTCCTCATGTCTTTATCTATTGGTTCGAAATTTGTGAGTATTATATTGTCACACATAGTTTATCCAAGATTATGTATGCCTTTTCATATCTATTTTTAAGTACTTTTCAGTGTTTAAATTGTCAGTAATAAGGGGAAGTTTCTAGGTCTTAGAGGTGAGAGTGAATACAATACATGTTTACTCAGGCTGAACAGTGTTAGCATAGACGATGCACAAAATGTCCCTAATATTCAGGGCAAATGGCTTTCAAAGAACCAAAGCAAGGTAATCAGTCAAGAGACAAGAAACTTCTGTTGAAAGTAAGATACAGAACAGATGGAATCATGACTTCCCTAAGAATGAACTAGTTGGTGTGTTAGACTATCTAACTGATTGATAGTCTTAGGTGCATGGTTATAAAAACCACACATATCATTTCGAAAACTCCATGTAGAGGACAGATCTAGGCAATGTGCTTTAGGGTATGTACTTTTAATAAAGCAACCCACTTGAAAATAAAAGAGGGATATCTGTACCTCACCTTACCCTGGCCCATGAGTAGTTTTTGTAACTACTATCAGAGTAGATGTTTCAGGGCAGTAATGGTGGCTCTTCACTACCTGACCCAAAACAGCATCTTTTATTCTTTCCATTCACAAGCCATCAGCTCCATCCAAAATGAATATCCCAATATTCCTCCAACCATGTACTGACTGAAACTCTGAGCCTTTTCCCACACTGTATTTCCCCAGAGTAGTTATCCACATTCCATCTCTGGAAGACTTTCCCACCCTACGTAGCTCTTGGTCAGTGAAAGAACTTTAAAGCATAATTCATTAATTAAATTTTTGAGCCTGTACTATAACAGGTTTTTGTGTTTCATTTTCTCCCCAATTAGATTATAGAGTTCTTGAAATTAGTAATCCAGTATCCTAGCAGTATTCAGTACCTTTGGATGCATCTAGATCTTAATATTTGTTCATGGAGCAAAGCTGATTGTTTCTGCTCTAGTGCCTGCCTACCCCACGCACATCCACATTCACATGGTGCACAGTATGTAGAGGTCATAGGTCTTCCTTATTTTAAGCAAACTTGTTAGGATTCTGGAAGTGCACAGATGCTGGATTTGAGCCTTATAAATTCATGGTAGAAAATTTAAATCTCACTTGACAGGGCCTTTCTTTTAAATCCTAATTCTGTTCTGAATTATGGAGTTTAGAAAGAATTGCATTTTTGATCTGTCACAAATACCTTTACAAGAGCAGGTTCAATCAGAAAAACTAAAGCCTCTCACCTAGTTAGAATTCTCTTCTTACCTTAATTAAAATGTTAATACAACTGGATGTCCTTTTATATTGAGGTTCAGAAGTTGTCAAAATTATTACTTTTTACAAATTCTTCCTGGAGAGATCAGCCTAAAAAAGCAGAATAAATCAGAAAACTGGATTTTACTCTTCGAAGGAAATATAGTTTGCTCATTATAAAAGGGTGAATTTTGAGAGACTGAATATGACTTTGAATATAATGTGCTGTATAAATGTTCTTCCAGTCATAGTTTGTTAAAAGTTTGAGGGTTTGATTCTCTTTTTATTTTTAATTTTGAAATACTATTTTGAGCTTTAAAATGTATGATTCACAGAAATTGCAGAAATAGTATAGAGAGATCCCATGTATCCATCACCCAGTTTCCTCCAGTGCTCATATTTTGCATACTTATAGAACCTTGCGGAAACCAGAAAATTAAAATTGGTAAAAATGTATGTGTGTTGTGGTTTGTGTCTAGGTGTCCCCCAAAGCCTCATATAGTCATGGGGGGGCACTTTTTCCGAGGTAGCTGAATTTAGATTTTGTGATTGATTAAGGGTGCTGGGATTAAGGGTGGGTGCTTGCTGGATCAGGCTCCTGGTTGGATTGGCACCACCCTAACCCTGGTAGACTGCATATGATACAAGGGACATAAAGAGGCTTGTCTAGTTCTTTTCCTTGTTGCTTTTGCTGTCTTCTGCCTCCATGAACTGTTGCCCTGTGCCATGCGCCACCCTGACTTGGAGCCAGCTGATTATGGACTGAAGCCTCCACAAACTGTGCACTAAATACACCTTTCCCCCTTAACTTTGGGTGTTGGGTAGCAACTGAGATGTGTGGTTTTAGCATGTGTGTAGATTTGGGCTGCAGAACTCCCATCGTTACACGTGTCTCCCTTGTGCCACCTTTGAGAGTCACACTAAGCCTGTGCCTCACTAATACCTCTGACTTACAACAACCGCTGACCTTTTCCCTGTCCCCGTCATTTGACCACTTCAGGAGGGTTGTGGGAGTGGAGTCTGATGGTATAGACCATTTCACCCCATATACCCCCTCCGCATCCATTCAGGTCTGTTCAAGTGTGTCAGAAGCATGTTCTTTTTTATGGATGATGAAAAATACATCTGTCCTTCCAAATGGTAGTGTTTTTTTCATATTTTATATTTTTGTTTAATTTTATGTGTCTACGGTTGTTTTATTGTTGCTGGTTTTTTTTAGAAGTATTTCCTGGCTATTATTATTCAGGATGGCTAAAACTGTAAGCTTCCAGAGTTGTGGAAACTGAGACATAAGAGTGTTGGTCACACTGAACTACCCATGACCGGCCTTCCTCATTCCAGCTGAGTTGAATTCTTTACCCTACCCTACTGTCACACTAGGGGAGAGATGGGCCCCTGGGTTTTCTGAGGCCTCTAATGGGAGCCTCTGTAAAGCTCCCTGGAGGAGGTGATTGTTCCTTTATTGTAAGTCATCAAATTCTTGTGAAGTGAATTGAAGATGCTCACAAGTGGATTCTATAAATTAATGATGTATTATAGGCAGAAGTGCCTGACTTAGGAACATTAGAGTTGTAAATGTTCACAGATACAAATGGACCTTGCGCTATGAACATTTATAGATACAAACAAATCACGGAAGCAGCTCATGTGTCTGCCGGACACGGTCACAGTTGTGCGGCTGTGCGCTCACAGTGCAGAGAGATAGTGCACAGCGGTACAGTGCTCAGTCAGAGCCCAGGATGTCCAGAAACAAGACGAAAAGCAGTGGTGGTGAGGGGACTGCTGGGAAGTGCAAAGCGATACACGTTGTATGTCTGTGTCAAAGGTGTATAAGACTCATTTTGTCAGACTTACTAAGAAATCCAGCTACAGAATGTTCCCCAGGAATGGAACTCATTCAGAAGACAGGGACTTAACTATGTATCAAAATACAAGAGAGGATTTTGAATGTTCTCACTGTAAAGAAATGATGAATGTTTAAGGTGCTAGATATTGTGTGATAATATCCCAAATTAATCATGACGCAATGCATAGTACATGAATCAAAATGAAACAAGAGTGGATTCCCCTCCAAAATCTCAAAGTGTAGTGTGGCAAGGCAGGATGGACCCTTGTTTTGAAGTTCCGCTGCTGTGAGTGTAAATTGTTGACACCCTCAAGGAACTTACATCTCAGCTGTCATGCAAGACATAATATAGAGTCACAGCATGATAGATGATAAACACATAAATAAAAAAGCATATGACGGGGCAGGCCGTAAAACAGTGGTGCAAGGCCAGGGAGTTAACAATGGTTGGTGTGTTGGGAGGATTTCAGATACAGTGGGCAAGAAGTATCTGAGGTGGCAGTGTTTCAAAACAGACCAGGGCCCAGGAGGATCCCTGGTGCATATTTGGTATTGAATTTACCAAACTGCAAAAGCAGCAAGAGCAAAGGGTCTGATACAAGAATGATGTATAAGAATAGGTGAAGCCAGGTCAAAGTTCTCCAAGTCTAATTTTTGGTGCCTGCACAAGCTTCTAGGAAGCTTAAGACTAAAAATCTAAGATTTCTTGAAAACCTACAAACTCAGAAGTCATCTTCTGTATTACACTGTAATACACCCACACACTCTCTCCAGTGTTTGCCAGTGTGGAATGTTACTTTGTGTCCTGCTCTCACATACTGCTCTTCATTCATAGTCTATGAAAAGTCCAAATAATCAGAAGGTAAGTAAGCTACACAATCCAGGTGGAATACAGTAGATCAGGACTTTAATACCCTTTGACAGCAACTCTCCACCTTTCTCTTAAATAATATCTGAGCCTTACCTGGGAGAACTTTCTCCAGTATAATACATGTGCACATCTGTACTGTCTCACAATCAATGAGAAAGTTCTTGAGGGCAAAGCCTACCCTACACATTTTTGTGTCACCTACAATTAAATTCAGTATCCTGAAGTGTGTGAAGTAGTTGGTGGATATGTATGAAACGGAGCTACAGATGCAGATGGTATTATGTGTTGAAAGGACTTTACAGAAAGAAGAGAGACGCATGAGAGCGATGAGTGGCCGAAAGTGACATGGGGTCATGGTGGGGTGATATGGTGAGGGGGTACCTGCACCACCTGGTGGACGTAGTGGGAGGTGGCAGGGAGTCAGGGGAGGCCCCGAGGATGAGTGGAGCTGCCCTACGATTTTCTTTCCAACCCGATCATATCAGAGCACAGGAAGTGCCTTGTTACTGAAACATATAGATGTTTATCAAAAGTGGGATTTTCCCTATATCTCTTTTCTCAGAATAACCCCTGGTCTGCTCAAAATGTTGACTCAAGCAATTAATATCCTTCTAAAATGGAAGCTTTTGCCCTCTCTGTTATGTCTTTCTGCCTCCTGAGGGCCTCAGGCACAACATGTAATCTTGGAAAACAGCCGAGACCTTTGAATTTGCGAGGGACATTTGGGTAACCGCCAGTATTCTTTGCATCGAGATAAAGAACCTAAAAAGAATGAGGGAATAGAGTCCCTCATTCTGTAGCTCCTGTGTTTATAGACACTGAAGTCTGAGTTACAAGCAACAGCAGAGTTTCTTCAGGACAGCCCAAGTGTGTGGCCATCTGTCATTACCGTGAGTGACTGATGCTGTGGGAAGAGGGCCATGATTCCCTACTCCCTTTGTGCCTTGAATAGTTTTGTACCCCTGGTGGGAGAATAAATTCAACCTTCACAGCATTCCTTTTTCATTCTGAAGAAAACATCTCTGATGCTAGTTTTTTTGTGACTCGGCAATCTTTACTGGAATGGTGTACACTTTCCCTTCTGAGAGTAAGTTCCCTAAAAGTGTCAAGAGTTTAGATGGCCTGTCACACTTACATACAGAGTTGACCCTTGAGACACATGTGCAGAGTTGGCATATAACATACCTTTGTAATATTAACAAGAATAGCAATATTTTAAAAATATACTGCTTTTAAAAACCTTCTCAGATCCAGAATGTTTACATGGCTCAATATGAAAAAAATATGAAGAGAAAAATACAGTCCATTACCTGTGATGCAAGTAGAAGAGCAATACTTAATGAAGTCTCTCTGTTGCATTGTGAACAAAGAAGAAAACGTGCTGAAGACAAACTGAACGATCTTCGTGTAAAACTGGCAGCACTGCTGCAGACACTTCAGCTGGTGAGTGCTGAAATTTTATTTGTAGGAGTATGCTCTGGGGAAGAGCCTGTGTTAGTCAGCTTTGCGTTACTGTAACAAAACACCTATGAAAGTCAAACCAAAGGAGGAAAGGTTTGTTTCATTTCACAGTTTCAGATGTTTCAGTCTGTGGTCAGCGGGCTCTACTCCTTTTAGGTCTGTGATGAGGCAAAAACGTTATAGTGAAAGGGTGAGGATGTGACAGAGCAAAGCTGCTCACCTCCTGACAGTGAGAGGAAGGGGCCATGGGCGTGGTACATCCTTCCAGGTTACACCTCTAATGAGTTACTTCCTTCAGCTAAGCTGCACATCCTAACGTCCCACTCAGCTATGTACTCATCCATAGATTAATCCATTCATGAGGTTAGTACCTCCATGATACAATCTCATTCTGAAAGCAACACCCCTAACCACGTGAGCTTTTTGGAGGACACTTACAATCGAAAGTGGAACAGGACCCTTGGATATATTCTGTATTCTTATCATTAATATATTCTTGTCATTTCTGTACTGACCCTGAACAAGTCACATAATCCAGACCTTGGTGCCCCTGTAAGGATATTGAAATCATAAGTAGATGAACTTCAAAGGTATATATTAGAACATTTTAAAATTTTCTGTTCTTTTTCATCTGTAAACATTGGAGTCTCTGTGCTCTTGGTAGAAGACACCTTTGGTTTCTCCACAGTAACGTGTTCAGTGAGAAATTTTTTCCAACTTTTTTAGAAGACAAGATATTTTTATTTATTTTACCTGCATATATAAATAAAAATAGGCCCTCCAAATACTAGAGATATTGGAGAGGTTAGGCAACATCATGTAAGTACGAATTACTGTCATTTTTGTTCAAGTATTTTAATAAAGAATTGGATTTTTATCACAGATGCAACTAATAGGGAAAGGGGCATCCTCCAGACAGCCAGAGTTAAAATATACTAGCCGAGGTTGAAAAGTATTTCTGTAAGTTCTAGAAATAAGTTTAAAATTCCAAATCAGATCAGGGAGGTTCAGGGAGCACGTGGCGTTTTGTCCTCAGATGTAGGCCCTGAGTGCTGGGATGGACAGGACCTTCCTGGGCCATGCAGGGTGAGCGCCAGGAATTGAGTCTCCTTAGCCTGAGGGTTTATCAGGGATGGCTTCGCCCATGAACGGGAAGACACAGGGACCCAACAGACTTCAGTGCAGAAGGTGCTGAACATGGGCTGCCTGCGTTTGTTTCTACCCTAGCTGTGAACATTGCACAGTGAGAGTTGGGTGTATGGCCAGCAAAAGGAGTCCCGTCTCCCCTCGGTGATCCAGGAAACAGTTACAATGCTACCTTATTAAAATAAAAGGGATAACCAGCACTGTTTCTCACGTTATGGCTGTTGTGTTGACTCTTCTGTCAATGACACTTCAGCCAGTTCCTTATTGCCGTGAAAGTGGGATTTGAGTGGCACCCCTGTCAACTCTGTGGCTGTGCTTGTTCTTACTTCTATCAGTGTTTATATTTAAAAGGTCCGCTGTGCACCCTGGTGGACTTTCAGTGATGACGGTTTCCATAACAAGGAGCGCTGGAGAGACCAAAGACATTTGGCATCATAAAAATCCAGTGTTACTTTCCCACAGAGTTTCTAAAAACTATTCATTCTCATAGAAAGAAAACCTATGTCTAGCTAGGGAAAATGAAGGAATAATATCTCCCTAAATAAGACATTACTTTCTGTGCCAAACCCCTGGATTTCCCAGAATAGCCAGAATAATTGTATTACTTGAATTTGCTTTTGTCACAAAGTTTGGTAGGGATGTGAAGGCCTTTAGAAACCAGAATACGAAACTTTCTTGCTACAATCAATGCAGAAGTACTCACATGGCTCTGACTCAAACACTCAAATGTCCTTCTCTGCCCAAAACTTCCCTTTGTGCTTCCCCTGACTTCCAGAGCAGCTGCAGTACAATAGAGCAGAGAATAGAGATGAGGTTGACCCAAAGCAGATAGGGTGGGACAGGCACATGATAAGGCAACATGTAAAATCAATGTAAAGACCTAGGAGGAGGTTTCGCCTGCCAGGAAGAGAATAGAGGCCCAAAGATGAGACTGCACCTAACAGGGGGGACCTTCCGGGGTCAGGAAGGGTCACAGAACATCTTCAGGGTTAGTATGTGTGGAAGTCTAGGTGAATGTCAGCACATTCTCCCTGTAGCCACCCATAGGAGCAAGACCCCAACCTAGGGCAGAAGGAGTAGCTGGAGCACATTTAGCAGAACCAGAGAAGGGGAAGGAGAGAAGGTGGAGCTGTACTTACTCAGAGCTGAATAAAGCTGGGATTGTTTCCAAAAGGTCCATCCTAGCACTTCTCTCATCCGTGTCCATTTGGAGAGTGAGTTGGTTCATAAGTGGGCCCAAAGGGGACAGATTTTGATGAGTAGAGAGAGCACATGTGCCCTTGACCTGCCGTGGACCAGAGCACGCTTCCCAGGAGAGGGAAGCACGGGTTGCCCCAGGGGGGGAGACAGGGAGAAGGGAAAGGGAGGGTGCAGAGAAGGAGGCTGGGCAGGGTGGGAGCCGAAGAGGAAGGGAAAATGGCACTGTGGAAAGAGGAGCAGCAGGAGTGGCAATCTGGGTCCTTCTCTGTCTTTGCCTACAAGGCTAAAAAGCATGAATATTTAAAATGGGAGGTGAGAGCCTGTGATGGAGCAGGATGACCCTGGGCTGGGATTTTAGGACTATGATAAGTGATGTAGGAAAATACCAGTGGGACCAAGCATCACTGCAGAAAAATGGATCCAAATCCTTCACCACCTGTGAACATAAACTGAGATTAAATGAGGAAACTTTGGAAAGGTTAAAAGCATTATTCAAACACCGGCAGCTTTCCTCGCTGCAGGGATCACAGAGAACACCGTCAGGGGATGTCCAGGCAGCTTCTTTGCCTGATGTGACCATGGCTTCTGTCCTCCAGGGTGGCCCCGCGGGAGACCTGGAGCAGACTGATGCCTACTTAGAAGGTCTGCTGCAAGACGACAAACTCCTTTTCCAGAATACTTCAAAGTGACCGCAGAGGTGGGACATCTCTCCCTTCAGAGAATAATGAAAGAACTTAACTTTTAAAATTAAAAGTTAGAGAAGCCATTCTCTTTTTTAAAATGCTAATGCAAACATCAAAAGATTCTTTTCAAAACTTTTTTTGTCATTATTGAAAAATTTGCCAGTTTAATACTAAAAATGTGTATACTTTAGAGGTGGTGACTGATTTAAAATTTACAGTTTATTTTCTAACTATTCTGTAACTATTTTCTGTAATTTTTATATTCTATTTTCCTACTTCTAACTATTCCTGTTCTCTCAGAAATAATTTCTAAAATTTTCTAAGTATCATGTGAGTTGCTAAGAAAAATACAAATGTCACTTAAGTTTAAATTTTGCTTTAACTTAATTTTGAAAACTTAAGACAGTATTTTTTAAGATAAGTATACAAAGAACTATAGAATCATCTCCTTTTGAAAGGTATGTTGAAAAAGAAAAACAGTATATCCTTTCTTTACTATAGCCAGCACTCAGTAAAACAGAAAATATAATGACCTGGGTATAATTCCAGCACACCTGTAATGCCAGCACCTGGGAAGCTGAGGCAGGAGGATTGCCACAAGTTCTAGGCCAACCTGGACTACATAGTAGTAAGTTTAAGGCTAACCTAGACTTCATAGTGAGACCCTGTCTAAAAACAAAAAAAGAGAAAGAAAATACTAATCCTTTAAAAACATTGTGCTATAGCTTATATGTTCATTTTATTGCTAGTTATAGTAAAAGAATAAGTCTCTTAAGCATAGTACATATTTATATTACACATAGAAACTATATTTTAATATTTACACATGTGTAAGAAATTGTTTTATGCTTTCCTTAATAACTGACTGTTTTGTTTGGAAATGTTTGCAACCTTGAACTAAAACAATAAAACATTTAATAATCAGTGGAATTTTATAAGTTTGTGGTGTGCAGTAGGTGTTTAATAAATGTTATCTATGAAAGTTTTTGTTTCCATTTTTTCCTTCTTTTCTCATCTTTTCTTTTGCCCGCCTCCCCTTCTCCCTCCCCCTTCCCTGGTTCCCCTCCCCATTTGAACGTTTTCTTTCTACTTCACAGAAGGGTTGAAGGGAGGGGAGGGGGATGGGAAAAAAATCAAGTTACATCATGTACAGGTACAAAGTCCCTATGGTAAATGTGATCATTATGTACACCTATAATGAGTCAGTAAACTTAACTAATCAAAAAATAAATAAGTAAATTTCTAAAGTTTTGTATTTTTAGTAGCACATGTTTGCAGGACGTAACGATTACATTCACGGTGGGGCGTTGGTCCACGTACCGAACACCTCTCAGTTCGTTTTGTGTCCCCTTCCCTGCCTTCCCCTTTAGCTCTTGGTCGGCTCCTGTTCGCAACCCATTTGCATCTTTAGCTCTTTACCCAGTCTTCCCAAGAGGTGTGCTTTTACCAACTTTCCTACTGCAATTCCACTTCCGATATCTTACAATTACTTGTGACTGCACCTCTAAACAAGGAAGATACAACCATGCAGATTACTCCATAGCTGAAGACATGGATGTAACAACATTTGAAAAATGCTGTTGATTTTTTCTACTCAAAATACCATCGAGATATTTGCATGTCAGGAGTAGTATATGTAACCATACATCTTGGAGGTAATGAGGTAATTTCTCATTATCTTTAACTGCCCCTTATTATTCCATGGTGTGAAAATACCAAAATTTATGTAACCATTCCCTTGTCAGTGGGCATTTAGATATCATTGCCCTTTCAGATTTACATGCACATTAAAAATGAATATCCTGGTAAGTGTGTTTATTTCATACATGTGCAGTTGTATCTGTTGATTGAACCTCAGAGGGTGGATTGTTTGGTCAAAGGATGTATACATTTTATTATTAATACATATTGCCCCGTAGCACAGAGTAAAAATTTTGTGAATATATACTCCTGCCACATTGTATGAGTGGCTCTTCCCTCACACTTTCACCTTTTCGGGCTGATTCCCAGCCTGACCTTGATGATCAAATAGGTAAAAAGTGAAATCCTCTTGTAATTTTTGTTTGTTTGTGGTGTTGGGAGCGAACCCAGAGCCCCATGTACTTTAGACAAGTGCTTCACCATGGAGGTACCTCTCACTTTTTAAAAAATTTTATTTTAAGACAGAGTCTTGCTAAGTTGCTCAGGCTGGATTCAAATTTGTGATCCTCCTGCCTCAGGCTGATAAGACTCTGGGATTATTGTGTATGCTACCGTGTCTGATGATTCTTGCAGTTTTAATATACATTTTCAGGTCTCAATGTCATTTGCATTTTTAAATTTTGCCTTTATACATTTTTCTATTTGGTGACAAAATATACTTCTTGCTAATTTATAAGAACTATTTTCATATTAGGGAAATTACCTTTTTACATTGTATATATTACAAATATTTTCTCATAATTTTCCATTTTTAAATGTTTTATGTGTTTTGAATCATACAGGACTTTTAAAATTTTTGGTTTAATATGCTTTGCTTATGCCTTCTGTAATGGTTGATACATTGTGTCTACTTTAGAAGTTTAGAAGTTTAAGTGACTCAGCAAAAAGGGTCAGGGTCCTCACTTTGTAACCGTCTTGAGCCTGTGCAAGAGATGGTGTGAGTGCTACACCTGCCCCGGGGCGGGTAGCCTGCATACAATATAAGGGAGGAAAAGAGGCTTGCTCTTCTCCTTTTTCCTCTTGTTGTTTTTGCTGTCTTCTGACACCACCACTTTGAATTGTTGCCCCTCAGCCATGTGACCCTGCCTTGGAGCCAGCTAATTTTGAACTGAAACCTCCACAAACTGAGCTAAGTAAACCTTTCCTTCCCTAATTTTGGGTGTCAGGTATTTTGTCTCAGCAGTGAAAGTAACAAAGACACCTTCTATAGTCACATAGAAGACTTTTTCTTGCTAAATTATAAAACAGTTTTCCCTTATTTTCCTGTAATAATTTTAATTATTATACCATTAAACCTTTGAATCATCTAGAATTTATTTTGGGATAAGAAGTTAGAAACTTCACTTTGTGCATGTGTGTGTGTTTGCACATAGGCATAGCAATATCTCAGAATTATTAATGGAAAAGCCAACACTTTCCTCCCTGATATACAATGCCAAATTTTAGTGCATTTAATTCATCTTTGTATTGGAGCCCACTTCTAAAAAATCCTCTTTTTAAAATTTATTTTTCTATATTTCTTCTAATGCCAGGTTTATGTTGTTTTATTTTTTTTTTATTTTTTTTATTTCAAAGAGTAAAACAAGGATAACATAATAATAGGGGGGACTTAGCATATTACAGACAAAATGGTAGGAACTTATCAATGGTTATTGTTTTACATATTGTTATCTACAAAATAGTTTCTCAGGAAAACAAATAGACAAATAATAGTGAGTTACAGACAAAAGAGGTAGGAGATTATCAAGAGTTGTTGTACTACACTTTGGTAT